AGAGAGAGAGAGAGAGAGAGAGAGAGAGAGAGAGAGAGAGAGAGAGAGAACACTAACGACTGTAATGAAAACTGTTTTTAGTTCGTAGTCTAACTCAACACTGGATGACTGGATGAGGACTGCAGGGGGAGTTTGGTTGTTTTATGATGAAATCACTTCCTGAGTCTGTGCTCCTCCTCTTCCTCATTGTCTGCTGGGACACACTTCATCTCCACAGCTTGAAACAATGTCAGCTTGAATTTGTTTAACACACATTCAGTGTAATGGTTTATTTTAAGACAGGCAGCTAAATTAGCACATATGATTATTTTTATTCAACTTAAAAGCTTGTTTGTTGCTTTAAAAACACTGAGTTTTATGGCTGGAAATAACATACTGACGACCCAAATTATAATTATGTATTTCCCCACATAAAAGTCATTTGGCCTCTGTTGTTTCAGCAKTTCACAGGGTGTGGACATCTACTAAGGTTAATATTCTTTTTTTTTTTTTTTGTATGGAAGGAGGACCTGGAAGTTCCTAAAGAGAAAAAGAATAAAGTTGGTTCATTTAAAGAGAGGGGCTGTCCACACCTCAGCAGTCTACACTAGTCAGAAAACACTGGCTTGACTTAAAGGTAAGTGTGAGGAGAATTCCCCTCGACCATATAAAACGGTGAGTAACATTTTTAGAAACTAAAACTATACTGCCACTCAAAACAACTGCGAGCTGCCTCTCTTTCACAAAACAGTTCCTTCCAGATGTGTGAATCCAGYTGTTTCATGTTCTCTTATCACAACCACAGAGTCTCTGGTATCACATGGTTCTGATTAAGAAAAAAAATAATGTGACTCCGGGTGAGATTAGCAGACYGGGGTTGGAAAGAAAACAACAAAACATCATTTGTGAGTCTGCAGGGGATTTCTGCCGTGTGTACCTTTAAAGTGAGTTCCACTAATGGCAGGTGCAGCAGAGCTCTGAAAAATATTATTGGTTTCAGCGTCTCATCTGCACAGATTAAAGCTTTCACCTGTTAATCACAATAAGGAAATGGCATTTTTTTTCACAGGGTTAATAACATGATCATGTTTTTTTTTTTTTTGTAAAGCATCACATCATTTAAAGTTTTTGGTTGTGGTGTTAAGCTAATAACGCTGACGAGTAACAAAAAATTTAATAAGAGAATACGATAAAAAATCAATATATCAAAGAAGATTTTGATCGTTCATTTTCAAAACAAGCTCGTTGACTAAAGTGCTGACATATATGTTGATTGGTTCAACAAGCAAATCACATGAAACAAAAGTTTGACAGATTCCAAAACGAATTCAAGTATAGCGTTAAAAACTGAGAGTTAAATTGATCAGAAAATAAAAATCAACATTTCTGCTCAATTAACAAACAGGCACAGAATAAAAATTGATGGTCCGAGAAGCTCCAGGTTGAAGAGAAGAATAAAAAAAAGCAACAGAATTTTCATACAGTTTAAATGTGAAACTTCACATTGAGTCATTAAGTAAACTTTATTTTTAAGGCACCTTTCACAGACACAAACATCACAAAGTGCTTAACAGAGAGCAAAATAACTAAAAACAATAAAAACAGATCACAAATATAATAAATAACAGTTAAAACACTATAAAAAGCACATTTTTATAATAATTAAGTCAAATTTGGTCAAAATGACTTAAAAGATATTTTCAGATTCTTGACTTTTTAAGACATTTTTGTCACAAGTGGTTTCATTGATTTGTCCTAATCATTCATTTATATTTGGTTCTGAATCCTATTTTTAGTTTAAATATTAACATTTACCAACTGGAAAGAAAAAAAAGCTTTGCTAACTCACTGCAAAAATGACACACACACACACAGTATATATATATATATATA